GTGTGTGTGTGTGTGTGTGTGTGTGTGTGTGTGTGTGTACTCACCTATTTGTGCTTGCAGGATCGAGCATTGACTCTTGGATCCCGCCTTTCCAGCTATCCGTTGTTTACAGCAATGACTCCTGTCCCATTTCCCTCTCACGCTAAAAGAAATCTTCCTAACATCTCTGTGACTCATCTGAGTTTCCAGTTTCCACCCATATCCCCTCGTTCTGTTATTATTACGTGTGAACATTTCGTCTATTTCCACTTTGTCAATTCCCCTGAGTATTTTATATGTCCCTATCATATCTCCTCTCTCCCTTCTTTTCTCTAGTGTCGTAAGGTTCAGTTCCCTCAGACGCTCTTCATATCCCATCCCTCGTAACTCTGGAACAAGCCTCGTCGCAAACCTCTGCACCTTCTCCAGTTTCTTTATGTGTTTCTTCAGGTGGGGGTTCCATGATGGCGCGGCATACTCTAAGACTGGTCTCACGTAGGCAGTGTAAAGCGCCCTAAAAGCCTCCTCATTTAGGTTTCTGAATAAAGTTATAATTTTCGCCAGTGTAGAGTACGCTGCTGTCGTTATCCTATTTATATGTGCCTCAGGAGTTAGATTAGGTGTCAGATCCACTCCCAGGTCTCTTTCTTGAATCGTTACAGGTAGGCAGTTCCCCTTCATTGTGTACTGTCCCTTTGGTCGTCTATCACCTGATCCCATTTCCATAACTTTACATTTACTGGTGTTGAACTCCAGTTGCCATTTCCCTGACCATCTCTGCAACCTGTTTAAGTCCTCTTGGAAGATCCTACAATCCTCGTCTGTCACAACTCTTCTCATTAATTTTGCGTCATCCGCAAACATTGACATGTAGGATTCCACTCCTGTAAACATATCATTTACGTAAATTAGAAAGAGGATTGGGCCCAGCACCGATCCTTGAGGTACTCCACTCGTTACTGTTCGCCAGTCCGACTTCTCGCCCTTACCATTACCCTTTGGCTTCTTCCTGTTAGGTAGTTCCTTACCCATACTAGGGCCTTTCCGCTTACTCCTGCCTGCCTATCAAGTTTGTATAGCAGTCTCATGTGCGGTACTGTATCAAAGGCCTTTTGGCAGTCCAGAAATATGCAGTCTGCCCAGCCTTCTTTGTCCTGCCTTATCCTTGTTGCTTTGTCAAAAAATTCTAAAAGGTTTGTTAGGCATGATTTCCCTGTCCAGAACCCATGTTGGTGCTTGTTTACAAACCCAATGCTCTCCAGGTGCTCAACAAGTCTTAGCCTAATTATTCTTTCAAGTATTTTGCAGGGGATGCTTGTCAGTGATACGGATCTGTAGTTAAGTGCCTCCTCCCTATCACCTTTCTTGAAAATCGGTACGACATTTGCCTCCTTCCAGCAACTGGGCAATTCTCCTGACATAAGTGACTCATTAAAGATGATTGCCAGAGGCACGCTGAGAGCCTGTGCTGCCTCTTTTAGTATCCACGGTGATACTTTGTCTGGTCCAACAGCTTTATTTGCATCCAGTGTTGTCAACTGTTTCATTACCTCCTCTGCTGTCACCTCTGTATCTGATAGTCTTTCATCTAGGGTAATCTCTTCTAACAATGGGAGCCACTCAGGCTCGGCTGTGAACACTCCAAGGAAACTTGCATTCAGTACCTCGCAGATTTCCTTGTCGCTTTCTGTATATGCCCCTTCTGTTTTCCTCAGTCTTGTCACTTGGTCATTTACCGACATCTTCCTTCTTAAATGGCTATGTAGTAATTTAGGTTGCTTTTTCGCTTTGATTGCAATATCATTCTCATAATTTCTTTCCAACACTTGTCTTATGTTAATGTAGTCGTTCCTAGCTCTGTTACATCTAATCCTGTTGTCCTCTGTCCTTTGTCTTCTGTACTTCCTCCACTCCCTCCTGCTTCTCACCTTTGCTTCCTGACACTGTCTATTAAACCATGGGTTATTATATTCCCTCCTGCTTTTTTCCTTTACTGTTGGAATAAATCTCTCTTCAGCCTCCTTGCATCTCCATATGACTTGGTTCATCATATCTTGCACTGTTTTTCCTCTAATTTCTTCCTCCCACTGCACTTCTCCCAGGTAGTCCCTTATCCTCCTGTAGTCCCCTCTTCTGTAATCAAGTCTCCTTTCCCGGACCTCTTGTCCTTTGGTCACAATTTTAAGCTCCGTCATGTAGTCAAAGACTAGGACACAATGGTCACTGGCTCCTAGTGGTATTTCATGTTCCAAATGGTCGATGTCTTCTACATTCTGGGTGAAAACGAGGTCTAATAGGCTGGACGTATCCCCTCCTTTTTCCCTAGTGTCTTCCTTCACATGCCGTGTTAGGAAATTCCTGTCAAAAACGTCTACCAGCTTCGCTCCCCAGGTCTCCTTCCCGCCATGGGGATTCTTCGTTTCCCAATCTATCTCACCGTGATTTAGGTCCCCCATGACCAGCAGGTTCGCTGTCATTCTATGCGCTATAGTTGCTGCCCTCTGCAGTTCATCTATACATGCCTTGTTGCTGTCCTCATACTCCTGCCTGGGCCTTCTACTGTTTGGTGGGGGATTATAGAGTATCAAGATTACAATCGTCTTCCCATCCACTGTCAGAGTTCCATGTATGGAATTCATGTTTTCATTGGTACCCGGATTCTCCAGCTCATCAAACTTCCATTTCTGCTTTATTAGGAGTGCCACTCCCCCTCCCTGTCTCTGTGTCCTTTCTTTTCTTATCACCTGGTACCCTTCTGGAAAGATTGCATCCGAGATCATGCCATTTATTTTAGTTTCCACTATTGCCACTATGTTTGGGTCTGCCTCACTAACTCATTCTTTTATCTCTTCTACTTTTTTGGTTACCCCATCAGCATTGGTGTACCAAACCTTGAGACTCTTCTTGGAAACTCTGGTGCCAGAGTTCCCCCTTTTGCCGGGGGTCTGGGGGGTACTGTGGGGTGTCTGGGGGGCGAGTTGGGGCTGTGGGGGTGTCTGGGGGGGTGCTAGGGGGTGCCTGAGAGTGTCTGGTAGGCAAATGGGGTCTGGGCATCTAGGGGGGTAGGAAGGGAAAGGGCATCTAGGGAAAGGCGGGAAGGAAGGGCATAATGGGTCTGAAAGTTAGGGAGAGTCTGGATGGTATAGAGGGGTTGAGAAATAGAGTGAGACTGAGAGTCAGATAGAGGTTGAGAGGTTGGGGAGGAGAGGGATATTGAGGGCAGAGGGCTGAGAGGAGAATGGAGCATGGGTGCTGGGAGTGGAAGAGAGGGTGTACTAGTTAGGGAGGAATCGGGGGTAGGGGGGGGGTTTCGGGGAAGAATAGGGTAAGGGGGAGATGGGGGAAGGTGTTAGGGGGTCACATGGTGAAGGGGTTAAATGTGGGCTGGAGGTGCATAGGAGGGGTGAGAGTTGGGTGGGGTTTGGGGGTGAGTGGAAGAGGGGTGCAGTGGAAGATGGGATGGAGTAGATGGAAGTGAAGGCAATGGGGTAGAAGGGGCAGGGGAGTAGGAGGGGGTAGTAGGGGAGGGGGGATGGGAAGGTGGGTTTGGGGAGGGCATGGCTTGACCCACTGGTGTCGTTGACAGGTGTGATGTAGCAGGGGCAGGGAAATTGTTGGGCAAGTGCAAACGTGGAAGGGGCAGGGGGGAGGTATAGGAAGGCTGAGTTGGTGAGGATGTGACCTGGGAGGTGACCTGTGTGTGTGTGTGTGTATTCACCTAGTTGTATTTACCTAGTTGTGCTTGCGGGCGTTGAGAAATAGGGAAACACCCCAGCATGCGGGCGGGGGTGGGGGTGTGACGGGCGCCAGCCTGCGGGCATGGGGAGGAGGTGTGACGGGCCCAATCACCGCCCCAGCCTGCGGGCGGGGGGTGACGGCCCCCATCACCGCCCCAGCCTGCGGGCGGGGGGTGACGGGCCCCATCACCACCCCAGCCTGCGGGCGGGGGGTGACGGCCCCCATCACCGCCCCAGCCTGCGGGCGGGGGGTGACGGGCCCCATCACCACCCCAGCCTGCGGGCGGGGGGTGACGGCCACCATCACCGCCCCAGCCTGCGGGCGGGGGGTGACGGGCCCCATCACCGCCCCAGCCTGCGGGCGGGGGGTGACGGGCCCCATGACCGCCCCAGCCTGCGGGCGGGGGGTGACGGGCCCCATCACCGCCCCAGCCTGCGGGCGGGGGGTGACGGGCCCCATCACCGCCCCAGCCTGCGGGCGGGGGGTGACGGCCCCCATCACCGCCCCAGCCTGCGGGCGGGGGGTGACGGGCCCCATCACCACCCCAGCCTGCGGGCGGGGGGTGACGGGCCCCATCACCACCCCAGCCTGCGGGCGGGGGGTGACGGGCCCCATGACCGCCCCAGCCTGCGGGCGGGGGGTGACGGGCCCCATCACCGCCCCAGCCTGCGGGCGGGGGGTGACGGGCCCCATGACCGCCCCAGCCTGCGGGCGGGGGGGTGACGGGCCCCATGACCGCCCCAGCCTGCGGGCGGGGGGTGACGGCCCCCATCACCGCCCCAGCCTGCGGGCGGGGGGTGACGGCCCCCATCACCGCCCCAGCCTGAGGGCGGGGGGTGACGGGCCCCATCACCACCCCAGCCTGCGGGCGGGGGGTGACGGGCCCCATCACCACCCCAGCCTGCGGGCGGGGGGTGACGGGCCCCATGATCGCCCCAGCCTGCGGGCGGGGGGTGACGGGCCCCATCACCACCCCAGCCTGCGGGCGGGGGGTGACGGGCCCCATGACCGCCCCAGCCTGCGGGCGGGGGGGTGACGGGCCCCATGACCGCCCCAGCCTGCGGGCGGGGGGTGACGGCCCCCATCACCGCCCCAGCCTGCGGGCGGGGGGTGACGGCCCCCATCACCGCCCCAGCCTGAGGGCGGGGGGTGACGGGCCCCATCACCACCCCAGCCTGCGGGCGGGGGGTGACGGGCCCCATCACCCCCCCAGCCTGCGGGCGGGGGGTGACGGGCCCCATGATCGCCCCAGCCTGCGGGCGGGGGGTGACGGGCCCCATCACCGCCCCAGCCTGCGGGCGGGGGGTGACGGGCCCCATCACCGCCCCAGCCTGCGGGCGGGGGGTGACGGGCCCCATGACCGCCCCAGCCTGCGGGCGGGGGGTGACGGGCCCCATGACCGCCCCAGCCTGCGGGCGGGGGGTGACGGGAGCCATGACCGCCCCAGCCAGCGGGCGGGGGGTGACGGGCCCCATGATCGCCCCAGCCTGCGGGCGGGGGGTGACGGGCCCCATCACCGCCCCAGCCAGCGGGCGGGGGGTGACGGGCCCCATGATCGCCCCAGCCAGCGGGCGGGGGGTGACGGGCCCCATGACCGCCCCAGCCAGCGGGCGGGGGGTGACGGGCCCCATGATCGCCCCAGCCTGCGGGCGGGGGGTGACGGGCCCCATGATCGCCCCAGCCTGCGGGCGGGGGGTGACGGGCCCCATGATCGCCCCAGCCTGCGGGCGGGGGGTGACGGGCCCCATGATCGCCCCAGCCTGCGGGCGGGGGGTGACGGGCCCCATGATCGCCCCAGCCTGCGGGCGGGGGGTGACGGGCCCCATCACCGCCCCAGCCTGCGGGCGGGGGGTGACGGGCCCCATCACCGCCCCAGCCTGCGGGCGGGGGGTGACGGGCCCCATCACCACCGCCCCCGCCACCAGGGGGCCGCCACCAGGGGGCCGCCACCAGAGGGCCGCCACCAGGGGGCCGCCACCAGGGGGCCGCCACCAGGGGGCCGCCACCAGGGGGCCGCCACCAGGGGGCCGCCGTCAGCTCCCGTAGCGTAAAATCGGAACAAATCTCACCAGCAGTTTTCATGGACTGAGCCAAATTACCATTGAGGCCTTTGACCCCTACAGTCCACGCGTGTTATTCACCATTTATTGCATTTTAGCCAGGAATAGTGTACCAGGAATAGTGTACCAGGAATAGTGTACTAGGAATAGTGTACCAGGAATAGTGTACTAGGAATAGTGTACCAGGAATAGTGTACCAGGAATAGTGTACTAGGAATAGTGTACCAGGAATAGTGTACTAGGAATAGTGTACCAGGAATAGTGTACCAGGAATAGTGTACCAGGAATAGTGTACTAGGAATAGTGTACCAGGAATAGTGTACTAGGAATAGTGTACCAGGAATAGTGTACCAGGAATAGTGTACCAGGAATAGTGTACTAGGAATAGTGTACTAGGAATAGTGTACCAGGAATAGTGTACTAGGAATAGTGTACCAGGAATAGTGTACCAGGAATAGTGTACCAAGAATAGTGTACCAGGAATAGTGTACTAGGTATAGTGTACTAGGAATAGTGTACTAGGAATAGTGTACTAGGAACAGTGTACTAGGAATAGTGTACTAGGAATAGTGTACCAGGAATAGTGTACCAGGAATAGTGTACCAGGAATAGTGTACTAGGAATAGTGTACCAGGAATAGTGTACCAGGAATAGTGTACCAGGAATAGTGTACCAAGAATAGTGTACCAGGAATAGTGTACTAGGAATAGTGTACTAGGAATAGTGTACCAGGAATAGTGTACTAGGAATAGTGTACTAGGAATAGTGTACTAGGTATAGTGTACTAGGAATAGTGTACTAGGAATAGTGTACTAGGAACAGTGTACTAGGAATAGTGTACTAGGAATAGTGTACTAGGAATAGTGTACTAGGAATAGTGTACCAGGAATAGTGTACCAGGAATAGTGTACCAGGAATAGTGTACTAGGAATAGTGTACTAGGTATAGTGTACTAGGTATAGTGTACTAGGAATAGTGTACTAGGAACAGTGTACTAGGAATAGTGTACTAGGAATAGTGTACTAGGTATAGTGTACTAGGAATAGTGTACTAGGAATAGTGTACTAGGAATAGTGTACTAGGAATAGTGTACCAGGAATAGTGTACCAGGAATAGTGTACCAGGAATAGTGTACCACTGTGAGAGAGTGTCTCTCAAGATTCTCCCACAGCTGACTTGAATGGCTCATTGCTGTGCACAGTGCACTGATCTTGTGCACAAGGTCCTATCTCTGTTAACCCTGGATAGTGACCTGGCGTGTTGGGTATCTCCAGGATGCCCACTTAACCAGGAACACTTTCATAATACGGAGGCCGCCGTATGTCCAGGCAGGAAGTAGATACAGGGAGTTAAGCATACTTGCCACCAAGGGTCAGTGGGTACATTGGCCGGTGGGAGCGTGGGAGACAGAGGGGAGACGCCAGCACCGTCTGACCTCTGGGGTCAACCTGCGCAATGGTGAATACCAGCTATGACGTGGTTGTGACGTGTTCATGACGTCACCTCTCCTACTGCTCATCGAACGAGCTAATATGATTGGTTCCCACCCATTTGCTACAATGCTATTGGTCAAATTGTAATCCCCTTGTGTGTGCCCCACAAGATGCCCTGAGCTTCAGGCAAAGCCATTCAAGTGAGGGAGACCAAACCCAGACGACGGGTTCTGTTCTGTCTACCGGCCAATAGACTGATCAATCGTCTATTCCTCACCTTCAAGTTAACTCAGCCTCTCTACGATATACGACACACTCGCCCAGAATCACGAGTGTGAATATATTGTTCAGAAGCCTAAAGTGACAAATCTCCAGACCGAAACAGACTGGTATCAGGTAACCCCTGGTGACAAAGATCGTTGTGAGTGACTTAGAGTGAACTAAGGCAGTGCTGCCGCCTAAGTAACCTGTGTGTGACTTTACCACAGTGTACCTGTACCACAGTGTACAGTGTAGTACATGGTACCATATAACCTGCAGCCGCCAGCCGCCGCCGCACTCACTGTACCACGTGACCTCACCGCTAGTGCCAAGAATGTGCGTGTGTCTGTACGCCCTACTGCGAGTACCTTCCGTGTCTACGAGCGAAACCAGCTGTCACGCCACCTACGAGTTCTTGCATAACTGTGCCTGAGTGAGTGAGTAAGGAAAGGTACCTTATCTTAAGTACAAGATCTTGTCATTGTTTTATTGTGTCTGTGTTGATCTGAGGGATCAACCACAGTTCTCACCTTCTCATACCTGTCACAGGTCATAGGTGAGTCGACGGTGAATGTGTGTTTATCTGTGTGGTATCACGACATTTCACTCGTCTGTGAATGTGAGCTTCACATACACCACACATTTAGTTATTGTGTGACATTATTATTGTGCATGTTATTGCCTGTCCTATTGACAGTGTAGTTGTTGATTTATTGCATATCATCATTACCGAGTATCCGGTTGGAACTCTTGTGATCCCTTTGCATACCGGCAGTTAGGTTGCCGTGTTAATGGTTGACTGTCAACTGTGTTAAGTTAGGTGTTTCTCCACGAGTGGATACGAGTCGTTTAGCCAGACGTCAAGAGTCTCGCTAATATAACCATAGCTTTGTTGACGCCAATCTAAAGTAAATCAAGCACCCTGTGTATTAGTGGTTAAGTTAGTAATAAACTACTGTTAAGCTTTATGCGGTGTTTCCGTTGAACCACTTCTGAATACTGTCAACATTACTCAAACCTTCAGCTCTAAGTGTCTTCAACACCGAGTTGCCTATAAGTCACAAACTATAAATGTGATGAGGACCCTAGGAGTCCCTTAAAGTGTTAAATCATTGAGGAGATTCCAACGATCAACGTGGACCAGGACCAGGTGAGGAGAGACCCTCAAGGACTCTAACTCGACCTTGCTCCCAGGCCCTGTACGGTTGCTCTCGTATTTTCTCTGCTGATTCCGACAGCTTCGTGAAGCGTCTGCCACATGTACATTGGCGACGTACCCATTGCAGTCGTGAAAGCATAATAGAAACCCCCCACAACCAGGAATAGTGTACCAGGAATAGTGTACCAGGAATAGTGTACTAGGAATAGTGTACTAGTGAAGAGAGGATGAGGAGGGGGTGGTTAAGGGCACACAGTCAGTCTAAGACCATAAGAATAAGTTAAAGTACAGTAAGCCTATTGGCCCATACGAGGCAGCTCTTATTTATATCCACTCAAACTCATTCATATACGTGTCTAACCTGCGCTTGAAACACTCCAGTGATCCCACGTCCATAATGTTACGCAATAATTTGTTGCGTAGTTCAATAGCGGTTTCCAAACCAGTATTTACCCAGGTCTTTCCTGGGTCTGAACGTCTCACATTTGATCCATTGTTTCGTGTTGTATTTTGTGGTGATATAAATAAATCATTGTTTATAACCCCTCTGGTATACACCCCCCCTCTGGAATACCATCTCTGTTATACCCCATCTGTTATTTCCCCTCTGGTATACCCCCCTCTGGTATACCCCCCTCTGGTATACCCCCCCTCTTGTATTCAGCTTGTCCTCCCACACACTGTGACACACATGAGCTTGTCCTCCCACACACTGTGACACGCATGAGCTTGTCCTCCCACACACTGTGACACACATGAGCTGTCCTCCCACACACTGTGACACACATGAGCTGTCCTCCCACACACTGTGACACACATGAGCTTGTCCTCCCACACACTGTGACACACATGAGCTGTCCTCCCACACACTGTGACACACATGAGCTTGTCCTCCCACACACTGTGACACACATGAGCTGTCCTCCCACACACTGTGACACACATGAGCTGTCCTCCCACACACTGTGACACACATGAGCTGTCCTCCCACACACTGTGACACACATGAGCTGTCCTCCCACACACTGTGACACACATGAGCTGTCCTCCCACACACTGTGACACACATGAGCTGTCCTCCCACACACTGTGACACACATGAGCTGTCCTCCCACACACTGTGACACACACGAGCTGTCCTCCCACACACTGTGACACACATGAGCTGTCCTCCCACACACTGTGACACACATGAGCTGTCCTCCCACACACTGTGACACACACGAGCTGTCCTCCCACACACTGTGACACACACGAGCTGTCCTCCCACACACTGTGACACACATGAGCTGTCCTCCCACACACTGTGACACACACGAGCTGTCCTCCCACACACTGTGACACACATGAGCTGTCCTCCCACACACTGTGACACACATGAGCTGTCCTCCCACACACTGTGACACACATGAGCTGTCCTCCCACACACTGTGACACACATGAGCTGTCCTCCCACACACTGTGACACACATGAGCTGTCCTCCCACACACTGTGACACACATGAGCTTGTCCTCCCACACACTGTGACACACATGAGCTGTCCTCCCACACACTGTGACACACATGAGCTGTCCTCCCACACACTGTGACACACATGAGCTGTCCTCCCACACACTGTGACACACATGAGCTGTCCTCCCACACACTGTGACACACATGAGCTGTCCTCCCACACACTGTGACACACATGAGCTGTCCTCCCACACACTGTGACACACATGAGCTGTCCTCCCACACACTGTGACACACATGAGCTGTCCTCCCACACACTGTGACACACATGAGCTGTCCTCCCACACACTGTGACACACATGAGCTGTCCTCCCACACACTGTGACACACATGAGCTGTCCTCCCACACACTGTGACACAC